GAGAGGATAAAGTGGCACCTCCAGGAAGAGATGCAAGGCAAGAGCAAAGCAGGGATATGTTTTATTTCCTCATATATCCCTGCCCTGCCATGAGGCTTGCCAGATCCTGGTTGGTTGCTATATGAGTGCCTGAAAGAGTGAAGGAGGGACTTGCCCCTCCCCTGAAAAAAAAAAACCACAGTAGTTCTGTATAATAAATAATGACCGCTCCCCACTTAAAACGGGGGGCACCCTTTGCGTGGACGCGCGCAGCCCCTGGATCTGGAGCTGCTCCAACAGCATAGGCTTGGTTTGCCTTCCCTCAGGTGGGATACCTGGAGGTCTCCGCCTACCTCAGTCAGTTGTCCAATCCCACCTGGGGGAAGCGTTGCCAAGGAGACCAGGCCAGGTAGGGGAGGGATTACCTGCCCACACAATAGAGGGAGGATCTTACCTGGGAATCCTCACTTGGCTCCAGAGCTTCTCCCACCCTACCCACCCTCAGTTAATGTCTTATTTGCAGGTTAACTTTTCTTCACAGGTTTTGCAGGTTAACTTTTCTTTGCAGGTATGCGGGCACTGCTACGTTAAGGTCGCTGTTAAAGGGCCGGAAAGGAATTTCCCTGCATTGGCAGGTTTCGCCTTTCCCGTAGCAAAACGTCACAACTTTGGCGGTATCAGGCCTTGGGCAGAATCCTTTAGTCCATCTTCCTCTTTGTGGCGGCGATACCAAGGTTCCCCGTTAAAGGGGTTTCTGAAGGGAGGCTTTGACCGTACGCCGAAAGGTCGTCATTGCTCTCCCCTGCGGCGGCGGCGTAACGGGGGCGGCTATCTCTGCTTGAACATATGTTCTCCAGAGCCGGCCCATCCCCCCACCCCCACTGGATAACCCTGATGCTCCCTAGGTCCCCGGCTGGGGACTGGGGAGGGAGAACGCCCAATGCCTGAGCCAAGGTCTACCCACATTTGAAATTTAATAAAGTTGTGGCCAATTTAATCCCATAGTACGTTGTCATGAGTCGTTATTCCACATGACGGGAGGACCGCGCGGGATCTGGGGACTCCGCCTGTCCACATAATAATAATAATAATAATAATAATAATAATTTATTATTTATATGCTGCCCATCTGGCTGGGTTTCCCCAGCCACTCTGGGCGGCTTCCAACAAAATATTAAAAATACATTAAAACATCAGTCATTAAAAACTGCCCTACTAATAAAATAAATGTACTGCAGTTTCTTCTTTCTCTGCTTATAAAGACAAATCCCATGGAAATGTGTTGTGGGCAGATGATGGTGGTCCTGCTGTTCAATTTGTGCCCCCATGCATTGCATGTGAGGTTTTTTTTTGTTTTGTTTTATAGGACACTTATGTATTTCAATTGTTAATACAGGTCTGCAACACGTGCCTTTTGAAATCATATTGTGTAGATCATCTCTATATGGAAGAAAAAACAGGATGCTGTAAATGGGAGCACACAGAAACCAGTGGTAATAGCAGACTAAATAAATCTAGTGTATTTAAGTACTACAGCCAGTGGTGGTTGGTACCCATCGGGATTGGTTGGGTGGGAGGTAGGGAGACCAACCGTAGGTGGAGCTAATGACAAGCAGAGCTATCCCTCGACTGGCTGTAAGTAACACAGCAGGCAAGTGGGGGTTGGCTGAGGGCAGAGTGTGGTTGGTGGGGAAGTGCCCCATTTGCCCCAATGAACCAGCCTCCATTGGTCCCTTGGTTACTTTGGCCATAGAGTTGCTATCTTGAAATGAACAGCCCATATAGTCTGTTCCGGCTTGGCTGATACAAGCCACCGACACTAGCACAACTTGCAAGTAATGTCAGGCATGCTACTGGAGGATGTGTGGGTGGAAGAGTGCTTGATAACAAGGCTCCATCTAGTAACAGGACTGCAGTGTAGATGGTGGTTTGTTGCAAGGATTTCCACCGAAGACTATTCTGTTTCTGCAAACCTATTAACATACCGGTAGCAGATCATACTTTTAAATCTGCACCATGTATGGTTATGCTTTGCAGGCTAAGAGCTGCTGCACTTTAGCATGGTATGTTAGAATACAGAGTGTCTTTTGAGATTAGTGAGAGCAATTGACTGCCTTAAGTACTCTGTCCCACAGTCCCTTAGATATTTTCTGGCATCCAGCTGACATGCATTGAAGAATGAACACTTGGAATCTAAATATGTGATCTGGAAAAATCGCTAATTAATCAACAGGAGACCATCTAGTTGCGGCTTATATTTCACGATGCTTAAAGACCCAATTTGTCCTTGGAGTTTAGATCTGATGCTAAAGGACTTCATGGCCCTTTATTCAAGTTTCTAATTCTCCTGTTTATTGCAAATGGTTTACGATCCAATGAAGTAAAAGCTAAAAGCAAAGAGTGCATTAAACACTTAATTTTCCTTTTGGGACTCCCTCTAGTTTATATTTCTAAAAGGACATTTGAAAAAAAAACCCAACACCAAATAAACATTGGTCTCTTGTTCTACCAACACAATTCCCCAGTTGCCATTTTTTTCTGATGGGAGAAGAACCATCAAATTTGCTGAGCATAGCCACATTGCATTTTGTATTCTGTAAAACAGATTTTGGAGGGAATGTTGCATATTTTATTGAAAAATCACCTTCTAGGAAAGTGTTATATACAACACAAAATTAAGGCTTAGGAAATTCAGTGGTCAGGCACACTAAATGTAAGAGGGCCTGGCCAGATCCGGCCAAAGGTCTATCAGTGTTTTTGTTCTCATAATGGCCGACCAGATGTCCTTGGGAGACCACAAGCAGGACATGAGTGCAATAACACTCTCCCACTGGTGATTTCCAGAAATTGGTATTCAGCGGCATAGTGGACTGTGCATGAGGGGGTTTGTCCATAGTGAAATGGAAAGTGCTATAAAATCCACAGTGGTCCTGGATAGGAAGCACAGCATGTTGCATTCGTCTATAAAGGCCATCCAAAATAGGGGAAGATGACCTTACTACACAGGGTTATTTTACCATTCAAAGCCCCTCTTCAGTATGAAAGTTTTAACTAGGAAAATGATATTTTGAACTCTGAAAGCCACGTGTTCCCTTAAATCTCATACTAATTGGTATAAAGCCATTGCTCTCTAGGATGATTTTATTTCAAAGCAGTTCTTCAATGCAGAGAAACGTGGTCAAAACGTGTGTGTGGGTAAGATGGCTGATGTAGGAGCAAGGCAGGATACAAAGCAAGGCAGACATTTGATGGAACACTCGCTAACATTTTGCATCACATTCTGAATAAGGCTGTTTGTACTGCAGGTACCTTGGTTGCTTCCTGCTGATGTGTATATGGAGACCCTTCCTGCCTTTGTTGGAGCTACCCCCTTTCCTTCATTAGTAGCTAGCGTACGTCTATCTGCATCAAAGGATGTGCTTGTAGTACTGCCCCCCTACACTTGTGTAAATATGGCAAACTGCTTGGTATGAGTTTTGTGTGTGTGGATTCAGGGCATTTTCTCTCTGCTGTGTTAGTCACATACTAAATTTCCACATACTGAGAGCATCAGCCCTATGAATTATAAAGAAAGTCTTTCTCTGGACCTCCCACCTCCATTATATGGTTATGCATATTACTTTACTTGCTTCAAACTGTAGCAACCAAGCTATGCTATCTTTGGAAGCCCTCCTGTTCATTCTGCTTAGTGGGTCCCTTAACAAAATCCTGCCCTGATAGCACAGCTGCATTTAACATGCAATCCTCACCAGAGATGGCTAAACCTTTGCCTTTCAGGTGTTGTTTGTCCAGCTCCCATCACCAATAGAGTTACAATAATAGAATTTTAGGAGTTGTTGTTGATGATGATGATGATGTTATTTATTGAATTTATAAACCACCCTATACCCAGTGGTCTCAGGGAGGTTCCTGGGGTCTTATGGTGGTTTAGAAGAGACCACCAGGGTCATCCAGTCCAACCTCCCTGCAATGCAGGAATCTTTTGCCCAATGTGGGGCTTGAACCCACAACCCTGATTTTAAGAGCCTCATGATCTACTGACTGATCTGTCGCAGCTGTAAATTGTAGTCCAACAGCTTCCAAAGGGCCACAGACCAGCCACCTCGGTTTCCTTTTAATTGGTTCCAGCAGAGAGCCTACACAGTACAGTGGTACCTTGGGTTACAAACACTTGGGGTTACAGACTCTGCTAACCCAGAAGTAGTACCTCAGGTTAAGAACTTTCATAACCAGAGGTACTACTGTATAGCTAAGATTCCAAGGCCCTGGGAGCTACCAGGCTCCTTTTTCAGAGGAGCACCAATAAGCACCTACTTAGCTCTCAGGCGCAGCTCTGTCCCTCCCAACTATGCTGGCATTCAGGAACTTTCCAAGGAGCTGTTCTTCACAACGAGCCTAATAGTTGTGCACAGTGGGACCAAATAGCTTTCTGTACCACTCTCTCCAGAGCTGCGCTGGCTCAATAAATCAATAGAGGAGAAATGCTAAGGGAATACCTGTAGCTTAAAAAAAGGGGAGTGGGTTTAACCCCCTTAACGCAAAGGAAACGACGGTGCCACAGTTGGAATCATCTTAAGTATGCATTGACAATGCAGCCTGCTATGAGATACCGGGCACGCCACAATGGGTGCACTGCTGCGCTTGGTTCAGTAATGCGACAAAACAGGCCAGTAAGAAAATGGCTATGAATGATGGAGAGAAATGTTCAGCGACTGCAGATTAGGTTGCTTCCAAAGTGCAGGAAAAAGAAAAAAAAAAGTTTTCCTTCTTACTCCCACGTTTTGAAAAGGTTACAAATCAGCAGTATATAAAAGGAGTACAAGGTACCAGAAGTCCTTCCCCATAGGGAATCAAGTAGATCCCATGCAGTACAGGAAGACAGCAGGCTGCACAACACTTGGGGATGTCAGAGAGTTCCGATAAAAGCAGAAAGAGGAGTGGAAATTACCAGTGTTTGTTTATTATTCCCAGGTCCAGAATGGAAACCAATTCAGCAAATCCAGTCAGTATTCATTGTTGTTGTTGGTTTCTGTCTGCAAACAATAAGCAATTGATTATGCCCCCCCCACCTCATTTGCATTGCATTTCCTTTGCACTGAAATGAACAAGGTAGGACAAAGTAAGGGCGACATAACTTACATACTTTACACAAATTACGTTAAGTTATATAATTTTGTCACAGCAGACAGTGAGACACATAATGTAGTTCTTGGTGGAAGAAAAACTGCAGTGGAATGGCAACAATACTGTATGCAAAGGATGCAAAACAGGAAACAGTGCCTTCTTACATCTCTAGTGACACTGTAAGGAAACTGATACGAACTAGCATTAGTTATCATGGGGGAGGGAGCAGGTTTTCCTAGGTGAATAGCAGAGAGAACTGGTAAAGGTAAAGGGAACCCTGACCATTAGGTCCAGTCGTGACAGATTCTGGGGTTGCGGCACTCATCTCGCTTTATTGGCCGAGGGAGCCGGTGTACAGCTTCCGGGTCATGTGGCCAGCATGACTAAGCCGCTTCTGGCAAACCAGAGCAGCACATGGAAACACCATTTACCTTCCTGCCGGAGCGGTACCTATTTATCTACTTGCACTTTGACGTGCTTTCAAACTGCTAGGTTGGCAGGAGCAGGGACAGAGCAACGCGAGCTCACCCAGTCACGGGGATTCGAACCGCCGACCTTCTGATCGGCAAGTCCTAGGCTCTGTGGTTTAACCCACAGCGCCACCCGGGTCCCATCCAAGAGAACTAGATGTTACTATAAAAATCTGTTAGTGAGTGAATTAGCTAGCTAAATAGCTAGCTAGTTTCATTCACTCATTTATATTCCATCTCTTTCTCCAATGAGATCAAGATGGTTGTCCTCCTCCTCACTTAATCCCGCCCCCCATGTATGGACTATTATCCATGCAGGCCAAGAGCAGAGAGATGCTGCTCTGATGCAGGTTTGGTCACTTCAGCTTTTTGGCCAAAGCATGAACTATCATCCAAATCTGCCAATATCTGGAAGAATATTCAGATAATTTTTCGGTGAAATGATGCCCTGCCTACAGTGACTTCTATGCCTTGAAAGAGAAAGTGGCCTGCACGAAATTCTCTTTCAAATGCAAACATGTACTACAGCATGATAGAGCCCAGGTCAAAGTGTGATAGATTATCAGGGAGCTAAACTAGTGTATGACACATTGACGGAATATATTTGCATAGGCATTCAGGCAAAGGAAATCACTGGCAGGAGCCATTCTGTGTCTGGAAAATAAATGGATGATTAGCCTTAGAGATTATGATGGGAAGGAAATTAGTGACCAATTTACAAAGAGCTGTTGTAAATCTAGCTTGCTTTACTAGAGGCACCATGTCTACAGGGATGCGTGATGAAAGACAGCTTTGTTTACACTTGGCAAATGTGAAACAGAACGGACACATTGACTGCAAATCCAGGTTGAAAGAGCTGTAAATAAAGAAGGTGCTCTTAAAATAATTGCTGACTATGAAAAATGTTGCTTATCATGAATAAGCATATTGGTATGCGAGAAAAATTAAGAGTAGACAAATGCTTCAATAGACTTTTAAACTGTGAAGTACAGATCTGAAGGAAGAGTGAAATGGAAACAAAGCTATACTTGCTTTGTTCTTGCAAGAAACATTGATCATGTGGACTAAAAACTTTTATTGGGACTGGGACTTCTGGGAGAAAAGATGGCTGACCAGCCATCGACAGAGATAATTATGTGTTGATTAATGATAGCCAATCTTGGTTTCCAAGCTCTCTCTCTTTGAAGATAGGGAGATCAAGGGATCAACCTCAAATGTTCAGAAGATAGCTATTTTTCACACTGGAGATGGGATGTTTCTGGATGCAGGGAGCATCTTGGAGCGAGGAACCGCCATTGTGCCCAGACACCGCATAACAGCCCTGAAGGTTAGTGTTCAGGGCATCAGATTAGTTAAACCTCCCTTCTTTTAATTACTTTTGAGATGGGGATGAATTATGACTGTGGTGATCTCTCTGCCAATTAAACTTTCACCTGGAATGCAAACTGACTGCTGGTATAAGACGAGGCAGTTTCTGCAGGATTAGCAACTGTTTTTAATACATTTACTACAGAGTTCGTTTTCTGAAACCAGAGGTACCGTGTCTCAACTTCTGGAGGAATTAGATTTCTGTGAATTATGATGCAAACAGACATGATCAGCACCTCCTGGATTATTGTGAATATTGGAACATGTTTATCCTTTGGGGTTTCAAATTTTGCAGCCCGTTCTCAGTTCAAAAACATACCAGAAAGCATAAAAACAGTATTTAAAAATATTTTAAAATTAAATATATACCTTAAGATAAAATATGTGTTTTAATATATTAAATATGTATCTAAAGGTAAAGGTAAAGGTAAAGGGACCCCTCACTGTTAGGTCCAGTCGCGGATGACTCTGGGGTTGCGGCACTCATCTCGCTTTATTGGCCAAGGGAACTGGCGTACAGCTTCCAGGTAATGTGGCCAGCATGACTAAGCCACTTCTGGCGAACCAGAGCAGTGCACGGAAACACCATTTACGTTCCTGCCGGAGCAGTACCTATTTATCTATTTGCGCTTTGACGTGCTTTCGAACTGCTAGGTGGGCAGGAGCAGGGACTGAGCAACGGGAGCTCACCCAGTCGAGGGGATTCGAACCGCCAACCTTCTGATCGGCAAGCCCTAGGCTCTGTGGTTTAGACCACAGCGCCACCCGTGTCTAAGTATCTAAAGACATACTTAAATACATACTAATTGACAGACAATTTGTGGGAATGGGCTGGAGCAGCCTTACGAACGAGCACATGTAAAAGTGGCATGGACTTGAAAGAGACTGATCTGTCCAGCCTCACGTAAAGTGTCACCCTCTGATCAGAAGTTGGTTCCCCAGTCTTCAATGCTTATTCTGTTTATCAGTTTACAAGTAATTTTCACTGTTGTCGGAAGGTGTTGAAAATGGCAGAATCTGCTCTGGAACAGTGGGAAGAAAATGGGCTGAATTGGCAAAGAAGCATAAATAACCCTGGTCTGTGAAGAAATCAAGCTACAAGCAACGTGAGATAACTACCTCAGAGCTTTTAATGACTGAACTCTAAGGATGTGAAACCCACCAGGAAGAAAATCTGAATTATACTATTCTGTGGGCACTTTTCTGTGGGAAGAAAAGTAACACAATCTCGTTCCAAAAATTAATACTGATGAGTATGACAAATACTAGATGAGAACAGAGAATTCTTCACAATATTAGTTGGCAGAAGCAAATAGCAAAGTAGCTAAGTGAGAAGAATAAAAATGAAAAATGTTTATTTATTACCGGTGTGTTCTCCTAAAATTTCACAGCTACTGAGCTTCTTTAAAGAGGGAGAAAATAGTCTTACAGAAAACTGTCAGTTACAAGAATTTTCAATGGAAGACAACAAGCATGAATGCAGTAGAAAGTGATGTATCTGAATGTTGCTATACACATTTCCTTCATTTATACAAATTTTGGGGCTTATGAAGCTGCAAAACAACCTGACCAACAAAAACAAACAAACAAACAACAGCAACATAACTCAAATATTTAGTGCAATTTATAAACCTAATAAAACGTCCACACCTTTAACTGAATGGAAAGGCATTTCTAGCCTGTCAACAATAAAAGCCAATCATATATACAGTGGTACCTCGCAAGACGAATGCCTCGCAAGACGGAAAACTTGCAAAACGAAAGGGTTTTTGGTTTTTTGAGTTGCTTCGCAAGACGATTTTCCCTATGGGCTTGCTTTGCAAGACGGAAACGTCTTACAAGTTTGTTTCCTTTTTCTTAAAACCGTTAATACAGTTGTGACTTGACTTCGAGGAGCAACTCATAGCATGCTGTGTGGTAGTCTTTTTTGAGGTTTTTGAAGATTTTGGTGATTTTTGAAGCTTTTCCAAAACTTTTCCGACACCGTGCTTCGCAAGACGAAAAAAACCGCAAGACGAAAAAACTCGCGGAACGAATTAATTTCGTATAAACTAGGTTGGAAATTTCAGGAAGGCCAAAATAAAATTTCAAGCACTGAAAATATTAAGGCTAGCTACCTATCAGACAGATCAAATTAAAGCAGCTGCAAAGCCAGAAGACACACTGCAATAAAGAATCCATTATCTGCATCATATTATGTTGAAGCAAACAGAAAATGTAAAGACATTTGCATTAACATCTATGCTAACAGAAACAAGTGTGCTATCAGAGAAGTAAACACACACCTGAGTCCATCCCCCAAAACAACTGTAAACCTGAGCCAGACATTTGTCAAGCTGCTCCTTATCCACAGATCCTTTGCTGAATATTAAAAGAGCAAATACCCATTTCCCCCCTAATATAATCTGAATAATTACAGGCAAAAAAATTTTATAAACTGCATTTCAAGTGACAAAGCAGTCTTTAATTATTTTCTGTTATTCCCCCTGTCCATTGGAACCAATGCTAAAACTACTTAGCAGTTGCGTTTTGCAAGCACAACAAAAATGCAATCTAATCAAAATAGATATCAAATATATATGTGTGTATATAAATACCCTTGAGTCAAAGGTTCTTATGCAGCACATTTTGTATATTAATATGAAAGTAGGACAATGGGATCAGCTTTTATCCACCATCATGAGGTCCAGAGTGACCATGATGATTGCTTTTTAGTTTGTAGAGGGAGGAAGTATAGCACATTTTATAAATGCAAAGTTCATCAAAACTAAGCATAATATCTTTCTGGAGATTTTAACTGAATGTACCAAATGTACCGTATTTTTCGTCCTATAGGACACACTTCTCCCCCTCCAAAAAAGAAGGGGAAATCTGTGTGCGTCCTATGGGGCGAATGCAGGCTTTCGTGAAGCTTGGAGAGCGAGAGGGGTTGGTGCGCATCGACCCCTCTCGCTCTCCAGGCTTCACGAAGCTATCAGCAAGCCTGGGGAGCCCGCAGGAGTTCCCGCAGGGCTCCCTAGGCTGCGCATAGCGGCCTGCTGCCCGGAGCCACAGTGGGCACTGAAGCCACAGCTGGGGGGGGGAATAAATTTTTTTTCTTTATTCCCCCCCCCCCCAAAAAAAACTAGGTGCGTCCTATGGGCCGGTGCGTCCTATAGAGCGAAAAATAGGGTATCTCAAAACCAAATCTTAATATGGCAAATTGGGGTTGAAGGTACACTGGGACTCTCATAAGAACACAAGAAGAAGAAGAGGAGGAGGAGGAGGAGGAGGAGGAGGAGGAGGAGGAGGAGGAGGAGTTTGGATTTGATATCCCGCTTTATTACTACCCTAAGGAGTCTCAAAGCGGCTAACAATCCCCAAGAGCCCTGCTTGCACAGTCCAGCATCCTGTTCTCGTATTGGTCAACCAGATGCCTATAACAAACTCACAAGCTGGACATGAGCACAATAGCACTCTCCCTGCTGGTATTCAGAGACATACTGGTCAGTGATGTGGGGCTTTTAAAGAAAGCTTTTCAAAAGTCTAATCACACATTGCAGACTGGCTCACCCCACCCCATGTTTATTGACACTTTCAAAGAACGCAGAAAGGTTAGTTAGACAGGGCTTACTCTTGCAGAAGCCGTGCTGGTTCTCTTTCAGCAAGACTTGTTTTTCCATATGCTTGGTAATTCTGTTGTTAATCATGCTTTCCACTACTTTTCCCAGAACAGATGTTAAACTAACTGACCTGTAATTTCCCATATCCCTCCTGGATCTTGATCTCGCTCTCTTTTAAGGTGTTCTGTTGGCTTTTTTCCAGTTCTCAGGTATGAAGGCTGCTCTTAGGACAAAGTTGCACATTTTTGTTAAAAGATGAACAATTTTCCATTTCAGTTTTTTAAGAACTCTTGAGTTGGACCTGGCGATTTGTTCCTTTTTGATATGTCAACAAGGCCTAGAACTGAAAGCTGACACTTTGGTTGTTCTTATCTTAGTTGCATTCATTTTTAAACTGAACTGAAAGCTGAAAGTTTTAGCTTGGATTAAAGTCTACACTTGAGCAGAAAGTTAAGTCTACATCTTTGAATTTTAAGCTGATTTTCACACTTAGAACTGTGTGGAATTACAAGTTAGGTGCTTGGGTTTTTTTTTATTGTTCTAATATTTACTTGAAATGTGAGACTAAATCTAGGCTTCTACTTATAATTTTCTCTGGCCCTCCCCCAAGGCTGCCCTGTGGGCTTATTACTTCTATGATTCAGCTCCTGGATTTACCCCACTGGGATTTAGCTCCTGATACACAACACCTTTTGCTGTGCCCTTGTTACAATTTGTAGCTGCTGCTCTAATAAAACAAATAAATACATATTTATTTACCCTATAAACACAGATGCTTATCTCATTTGTTATCTTGATGCCTGGTCACTGGGGCTTGCGCTCTTGCTCATAAAATAAAAGCAGCCGTAGGTCTTCATTTCTTACATCCAAAATAGTAGCAGCCAGGGGCACCATCGGCGGAGGGGGAGAGAGAGAGGCCGTGGGACCCCCAAATTTCAAGGAAGGGGACGGGTCCCCTCAATATTCCATGCTGGCAATCTCCCCCAGAGACGGGGAAGGGCGAACCTGGCGTGCCCCTTTGAAAACTGAAAGAGCACCTTCAAGGAAGGCACGCTGGCGATCTCTGTCAGAGATGCCACGCGATGTCACACACGTGTGATGGGCCCCATCCAATGTTGAGCACAACTTGGTGCCCCTGGTAGCAGCCCAGAAATGACCACTTGCACAAACAGGTCCTTTCTAAATGAGGTCCCTGTGACCAACCCACAAAGCCATCAGTTGCGTACAATATGTCACTTTCTTAAGCAACTCGCTTTTGTGGTAGGCCTGGTCCTAGCCATACAATTTCTTAATTCTCTAAGGTGAGAACTTGCTGCTTGTGAGTGCAAGGGCCTGGGTAGTGGTCTGTGTCTATGGCTGAGACCGCTGAAGAACAGAAGGCCATTTACTTCAGATTTCATACTTTTGCCTCCTACTTTTGTTACAGGTATGGTGTGCAGCCAATGCTTTCTAAACAGGAGAAGCTGGTGAAGAACTATGGCTGCAAAAACAGTGGGGAAGAGAAAGTGTAATTTTTCTCTTAGGATATTTAAAAATTGACAGCACATTTTTATGTTTGCTAAGCTGATTCTGTCTGGGCCTGACATAGTAACGATTGCACCTATGCTGAGGAACGTATACCCTCAAACCCCTCAAGGCCTCATTGCTCAGCACTGTTAAGGTTTTGACAGTTGAGGGAGGCTGTCTCAGGAAAGCCTTATTAATTTTTTAGGTGAAATACCAGAGATTGACACTTGTGGTTATTTCGTACAATAAGATTGTTCAAATGGTGCTCAAGGATGAGCAGAACAGAAATGGGGGTTGACCTTTCATGTACGTCATGATACATCACAGGGAATTGCTGTGTGTTCACGCATCTGGGATCATTTAGGGCTTTGCAGGTCTCTAGAAGTGTGTGTGAATAATTTACAGTAATTTATACTGATATGAATGAGAGAGAAAAACTAGATGCATACTCGATGAATCAAGTGAACTACGATTCTGATGGTAATGTAAGTTTTCCACTTATCTTGCTTTGTCTCTGCTGTTTTGGAGGTTCTAAAGACTCTGTAAGCATTATGAACTGAGCCTGCATTCACATGTGAGGTTTTACTGATAATAATGCTAGCGATTCTGTCCCAATTTTAAATTTTCCCTTTACATGGCAGTACTTTTAAAAATCAATATACTGCCATGTCACACTAAATTATAAACAGCGAGAAAGGCCTGTATGCCATGCTACCATAAAAAATTTCATCACATGACCAGTGGTGGAGTGATCATGAAAACCACAGGGGAAATTACAATGCAAAACTCCCACCATTTTCTGAGTTAACAGGATTGCAAACATATTTTTCTATGGAAACAATTAACACACGAACAAATGCTAAATGTCTGCTGGATTCCACTAGACTTCCAGAATTGGCATTTACTATGTGTCAGAAATCACATAAAATGTGAAAATTAACATGTAAGGAAACATTGGGAAGATGGAATAAAATGGAATCTGAATGCAGCCCAAGAATGATCAGAGTCCCAGTCTAAAGTGGGGGAAAGTGTGACTTAAGCAACTCAGATTTTGTGGCCCCATTTGACTCTGAAACATTAATCGGTTGGGAAGTGAATGGAGGTCACAGATTGAGGTTGAATCCTGACAAGACAGAAGTTCTGTTTCTGGGGGACGGGGGCAGGCAGGTGTGAGGGATTTCCTGGTCCTGAATGGGGTAACCATGCCCCTAAAGGATCAGGTGCACAACTGGGGAGTCATTTTGGACTCACAGCTGTCCACGGAGGCACAGGTCAGTTCTGTGTCCAAGTCAGCTGTCTACCAGTTCCACCTGATACACTGGCGCAGAGACCCTACCTGTCCGCAGACTGTCTCACCAGAGTGGTGCATGCACTAGTTATCTCCCACTTGGAAGTTGCACATTCAATCCCTGTATGGGACAGCTGCATATTCCTGCATTGCAGGAGGATAGACTAGATGATCCTCAGGGTCCCTTCCAACTCTACAATTCTGTGGTCACAGCTGCACCACCCAGTAATAATGTTTTCAGCATAGAAATGACTTACAAATAAAAATAAATAAAACATACAACCCTTCATGCAGGTAACATGATGGGGACTGTCATTGACCATGATACTACTGTTTAGGTTGTCAAACGACCCATAAACAATAACAAAGAGAAATGGTAAATTGAAAGGGAAATCTTAGCAACTGATTAACTGGCCTATATGAACATGGGATGGGTGTGCTTTCGTGGGGATAAGAGAAGTCTGCAATAGATTGTCTGTGATAGCCTTTTTATGCAGTTGAGATAACTGCACCTATTTTCCCACAGAGCTGGTATGGAATAAATCTGTTGCTAATACTGAATATTTTACCTATTATTGCTTCCTATGCTGGCACTGTTATTAGTTGGGAATTGAATTTCACTACTTTGGTAATGTGAACTGAATTTTGGAATTATGGAAATTTTAATATTTTGACAATGAAAGGTTATTCGACAGAAAAAATATACATATTTATGACATGTAAATTTTAAACATGCTTTCTGAGCCATAGGGGAAAATACATTTTTTAAAATAAAAAACAGTAATTCAACAGTTATTGGTGAACCATGCCATGGGACCCCATCGAAGTTGATCAGATGTTTGGCTTGTTCTCCAACTTATTAAGAAGTCTATATGTGCATAATATAAAATGTCTACCTATTTTCATATGAAAGCTATGTGTCACATGATGCAGTTCCCATTATTAGACATGATTGCATAGATTGTTCCATTACTTCCAGGCAAGCACTTATCTTTGTTCTTGGAGTAAAGCACTATGCTGTACTCTGAATACATCTAAAATTCAGTGACTTTTTATAGTGGCAGGTTCTATCAGACAACAATACTAAAAGCGACAGAATTGAAGGTAACAAAAAATGTCTGTCCTACAGTCCCCTTAGTATCTTCAATCAAGCAGTCACAGTTTCAGAGACGCTGTTCATCAGTTAGCCCACAAATCATAACAATGTAATATGAAAAGTCCTGACATGGTGGGAGGGCAATAGCATGTCCTCTATGTATGAGCAGTTTAGGTCTCCTCATAAAAGTTCTAACCTGGGTTTGTTTCAGTTATACATTTCGGGTTAAGGACAAAGTGGGCAGCAGATATGTACCCTCTCTGTTGTTCCTCCTCCATCTCCCACCTGAGAAACTTCTCCTAGGCCATCAAAACGCTCTGTGGTAGCAGCAATGCTAACACTGGAACTCCATCTCCACATGCCCCTTGTAAGGGGAGCATTTGATGGCTGCCAGAGGGATGAGAAAAGAAGGCCTACAAATGCTGTGATTCATAGAAGGGTTTTTATTATTATTTCAGTTTTCACTCCAAGGAGACTACTACACAGTTCATCTTAAAAAAAATAGGTGGAGCACTTGTGTGAGGCAGTAGAAATTGAAAATCTATCTGGGGACATCATCTACGAAAAAAGAGTCGACATCTTTAGCTACAGGCAACGGAATGGTAGTTCTGAGGAGGACAGGTGAAGGGCAGGTTGGGGACAGAAAGAAGCAATCCAATTTGGTTGCACCAGCTAGGGTGAAATTTACAACTGTCATCAATCCTCAGGCTTTAAAGCTGATACTGATCACCAGCTGGGTTTAAGAAAAAAATGTCTCCCTCTGGTACAGTATCCCACAACTGGCTGAGTGTATTTCTTCCTCTGATCATCATGCCTAGGCCACTGTCAGAAGCAGGATATGAAACTGGATGGATCATTGCCTTGTTCCGGTGCATCAACCTCTATGTTCTTAATTTTCTTCACAGTCTGCACAGATTGGGATCACGTTATTTATACCAGCGAAGAATTTTTCACAGCATATTGTAATAGTTCCAGCCATTCTGCTGTTATCTCAGACAGTAACTTAAATGATTCCAACACCTCATCCAGAGCAGTATAGCTCCTTTTTATAGGGTTTTCGTGATTTACTAGTTTTATTCTTGGTTGGGAAAAATGTCAGATGTTCTCGGCTTAATTAGATCCATTTTGAATCAAACATCAGCTACCGCATATTACCAAAGCAAACATTCAATATAACAATAGCAATAACATGAAGAAACAGCACTAGTGATCTCTAAAGATGTGATTTAGAATTTAGCTTTGGATTTATTTTAAAGGGAAGATGTAAGCATTGCCTTCATAGCTGAAAGATTTATTAGCACTCTGCCTTTCCATTATCCAAGCATCTCACTTGGCCCAAAGCACATCTGTGCCACAAAGACAATGAGAGAGAGTGTGGATTTTCTATATTCATAAATTACAGATGTTGCTCTGAGCAATACATCTATCAAGACAATTCTCTGGAAGGCTGAGGCCTACCTGTAAAGTAGCTGTTCTAAACATGCAGCAGAGGATATTGGAAAAAATGTTAGTATGTGAACACAGGCTGCCATCCCAATTTGTTTTATGAGGGATATTTTCATTTCTGACCCAAAGCTCTTTAATAGTATTGAGGGTAGCAAATCAAAGACAAAATAAGACCTTTGAGGAGCAAAGCAAAGCTTTGCTTTAATATCTCCCTTGATGCAAAAGCACTCACTCCAGTAAAAACATATTTCAGTTCATGACAGCACAGCAAACTCAGTGAATAATAGATGGGTCTGTTTTATGACTAATTTGTATTCGCTTTTTTAACTTGCACATTGAACTGTCCAAGCTAAATCACATGTTCAAACAGTTAACATTATTTATTTCCCACCCCCTGAATTTATAGCAACTGTGTTGTGTCTTGTCTCAGGGCAGTATCTTTATACTCCTTTTCTGTGAACATAGGCTATTTTTAATACACACTCAGAGAGACGGATAATTTGCAACAGGATAAACACAAACTATTCTAAAGTGTACAGAATACTATGGCAGAGTTTCCCTCCCAAAAGATTTGCTTATTCCTTTGAATTATTTCGAAAACTTACTTTTTAAATTAGGAGTGAGCGAATGAAATGGACCGGAGTGAGTATGAGGAGGAAGGAAGCGTGAGGAGGAGGAAGCAGCTGTTCTCTGATGGAGCTGGATTTCTCTTCCCCTTCCCCTGTTTTCTCCTCAGACACTCTGGTGGGTGCCTGGTTTACTTTGTCCCCCCCCCTCGCCACCCCACCCCCCCAGGTTGCCATTTACTTCGCAGTTCTGGCAGAGTTGCTCACCAGGGAGATAAGAGGAAGACTACAGCATGAATCCTCCTCTTCCTGCTTGGTCATCTTCTCTCGTCCCCTTGTGATATGGTTTGAGCTGCAGTTGCCTTTGTCTTTCAATTTTAGTGGGTGGAAGCAGAATCGGGGGTCTCAAGCTGCTGTCCACAGCCCTAGTAGGGAGGAGAGGTGACAGTGGCAGGCCTGAGGGAGCAGCTCTGAGGTGAAGATGCATGTCCGCTGGGGCTTCTGCTGCCTTCATCCTCGGGAAATTGGCTGCCCTCCCTCAGCATGAGGGGAATGGACTGTGGCACTGGGGAGGGAGGGGGTGAGCAAAGGAAGGAGACGGCGGTGCACCTTGTGTCCTGCCCCTCTCCATTTTTTTTCTTTTTTGGGTGGGGGGGAAGGTGCCAGTACTGTGTACCATTGAGTACCACCAGAAAAAGCACTGCTCCCAAGACAGATGGATGCCCACAACAAGAAGTTACATATGGAATTTTGAGAAACTGCAGTGCGCACCAGTCACAAAATGGCTGCTGTGGGCGTGTGGCATAATACAAAATGGCTGCCAAATATAAAATGGCAGAAAGAGAGACAAAATGGTTCAGGTGTGCCCTACCTCAGAGCTTTCCAAACTTTGTGTTGCGACACGTTAGTGTATCTTGTCAGCTGCCTGGGGTATAAAAGGTTAGTTTAACCTTCAGTCTGCTAGTAAAAGGTAAAACTGAATTACTGTGTCACAAAATGATGCATGCCCCCCAAATGTGCCACCAACTTGAAAAGTTTGGAATGCTCTGCCCTACCTCCTCAATAGGGAAAAGGCACCTCTTTCGGTTGCTGTTGCGCTCTCTCATAGAGAGAAGTTATTTGCCCCTCTTGTTTGTTTAGAATGGAAGAGTGAGTGTCCGATCCTGGCATCCAAAAGGTAGACATCACAGTCAGGCAGGTTGATATGGAGAATGGGTGGTCCTTCAGGTACCCTGCTCCTAAACAACTTCAGATTTAGGAGTCAAAACCACCACCAAAATGGTTGCAACACATTTGATATCTCTGGTCTTGAAACAGACACATGACACAGCAATTATCTTTTTTAAAACATAGAATTGTGTTATCCTTAATAGCCTCTCCCATTCATCAATGAAACAAATTAGTGCACTGGAATTTCACATAAGCTGTGTGCAAGAGATGGTGGTCCTTTAGAGCAGGGTAAGCGCTGTTACCTATCAACCAGAAGCAAACACTTATAATAAAAAAGTCTAATGCCATTTCTGGATGCACAAATCCACAGGTAGCTTTATCTTTCCTAGCGGCCTACAGCTTCAACTTAACCAAGCTGATGGAAGCGGGACTCAAAAAGCAATGAGAAAAAATAGTTTAAGAAAGAAACTGACACACTAGGCTAAGAAAGAAGTGGCATATCCTTCAGGACAGTGATTGCAGCCAGTACTCAGAACACAGAGGTAGCATCACAATAGAGTCATGCAAAAACTCTTCCCCCAGTTTGTATCCCTGAGCCAAGCAAATTGTGGTTAAGTTTTTGTAAGTGGATTTTCTTCTTTTTCCTCTTTAATCTCTTTTTTTGCTGAACTTAGCTACTGAAACTGGAACTCTCTTGTCAGAATTAATTCTGAACATCTCAGTGTGTGTCAATGGAAGAGTCTTTCCTGGGAGACATCTCAATCCCTCTCTGTACAAGAAAGAGCACAACAATCCTATTATGGCTGATCCTAACAGAACAGCAAATGGAATGAGCCAACACTCTATCCTGTGGGGACTTCAGTACCTTATTTTCTTTGGATGAACGAAAAGAAGAACCAAATACACCAGACTTGTGGGGAGGGGGAATACGGTGGGCGATAAAAGAGGTTACACCATTGGTAATTGTAATGTCAGCTTTCTGTCCCTAATTCATTTCATGACATGCATGACCTTAACATCTTTGACGGAAATAGATTAACTTATTCATAAATGAGCCAGAAATGGTCAAAGGACACTGATCCTTGTGAAGATGTTATTGTTTATCTCAGCCTATTAGGAAATACATACTTTTATTCTATAGCAGCCATGGCTGGATTTTTGGAATTGGTTGAATCCAGGTACATAAATGCAATGTTTTGTCCTATTATGCACACTTCCCCATGAAATGTGCTAGATCCTCCTCACCATGGTACATTTAATATCATTACCCTTAATCAGTGCTTTCCCCCCTAGAAAAATAGGTGCCAGTACAGTGGTACCTCGGGTTAAGAACTTGATTAGTTCTGGAGGTCCATTCTTAACCTGAAACTGTTCTTAACTTGAGGTACCACTTTAGCTAATGGGGCCTCCTGCTGCCGCCATGCGATTTCTGTTTTCATACTGAAGCAAAGTTCTTAACCTGAGGTACTATTTCTAGGTTAGCGGCATCTGTAAGCTAAAACATCTATAACCTGAAGCCTCTGTAACCCGAGGTACCACTGTACTCATCATGAAGTTGTAAAGTAAGTGCCACACTTTTTGACAACAGAAAAAAGAGGTGCCAGTACTGCATACCCTTGAGTACTGCCCTTTATAATATGTTCTGTGATTGTACATGGGGTAAATGTTGGGTTGATAATTATGCAAATTGCATCATTATACCGTTTAGTCACTGAGTGGTATTGGACTTAATTGTATCTGGGTGAAGTCAAGCATTTCCGTCTTGCTTCTTGTCAAGCTTTGTGACTGGTATGCTTTCAAAGGCTTCCATTGTAGATACCAGAAGTGGGAAACCTCGGTCCTGGGGCTACGTGGGGCCCTCCAGATCTCTCTCTCTCTGCCCCTTAGGACTTTGCTCAGGCTGCTCTCCCTCCCCAGGCACACCACCTTCCCAAACACACACCAGGCCAGCTCTTATTTGCATGCTCCTTGAGTGTTCTTGCCTGGCTAGAAAGTGTCTTCAACTCTTATAATGCTTCTTGCATGCCTGGATAGAGGACAGAGAGGGGTTCATAGTGTGAATGTGTGTAGAAACTAGCCTGTGGTCCCCAGAAGGGAATGCGGATGTAGCCCTCAGCCTGGAAATGCTTCCCCATCCCTGATATATACTAATAGAGAACTCCATTCTCCAAGTGCTGGTCTGCATGCGCTACACACACGGAAGGTATCAGGGGGGTTGGGGAAACCAACAGTTATACAGAAGTACAAAAAAGAAGAAGCGTTAATCAAAAAGCCTGCCCTCTAGCCTTAAGGCCAATGAATTCTGAGCATTCTCATTGGGAAGGAATACTAACTGACTGTTGGATGAATAATGGAATAGTATATCCTTGAAGAGGACACAACTGGTTGGCTGAAATTGAACTGGAGAACCTTATACAGTGGTACCTCGGGATGCGAACGGGATCTGTTCTGGAGCCCCGTTCACATCCCGAACAGTACGCAAGACGCGACGGCATGTCTGAGCGTGCACGGGTTGCATTTCGCCACTTCCACACATGCATGTGATGTCATTTTGAGCATCTGCGCATGCACGAGCGGCAAAACCCAGAAGTAATGTGCTCCGTTACTTCTGGGTTGCCGTGGAGCGCAACTTGAACACGCTCACCCCGAAGCACATTCAACTCAAGGTACGACTGTACTGTATCGTTTTGTTGTAGGCCCCTCTTGTAGATCTAAGGTTTTCAGAATCTACCCTACCCTACAGTTTACCTATGTACTAATAATGCTCTTAATGGAGGTTTTATTTACAGTGGCACCTCAGGTTAAGTACTTAATTCGTTCCGGAGGTCCGTACTTAACCTGAAACTGTTCTTAACCTGAAGCACCACTTTAGCTAATGGGGCCTCCTGCTGCTGCCGCGCCGCCGGAGCACGATTTCTGTTCTCATCCTGAAGCAAAGTTCTTAACCTGAAGCACTATTTCTGGGTTAGCGGAGTCTGTAACCTGAAGCGTATGTAACCTGAGGTACCACTGTATTTATTTATTTTGCTAATTATTCTGTCGTTTTCACATTCCATTTTTTTAGGAATCTGTATTCACTGGCGCAATCCTTCGTGCGCACACGATGGCCCTTTCATTGCTTATGAGGATGCTTGCTCATAGATGTGTTTGAAGATACATGATGCAATAGTCCTGGTGAGGATGAGCAGGCTGCTCACTGCCTGGATGGGTAACCACCTGAGAAAGCCAGGTACGTTGCCTTGAATAACTTAATGGAAGAAAGGTGGGGTATATTATATGTTATATATAGAAGCTCTATGTTCACAGTTGTGCGCTGGGAAATCTGGGGTTTGGGTGCAGTGCTAAAATGGAGCATGCAAAGGCAGTAAATCAGTTACTCTAAATGCAAGGAAACAGTCAGCAACCACTTTGATCTCATCATCAGTGGAATCTGATAATTTATTTTACATAACCCCGGGAAACTGAAATACAATTAAGAGCTGGTTTTTGGCTTTTGATCCTCCTAATAATTTCCCCTCTTTCACAGAGGCATGCACACATAGTAATAAAAGAGTCAAGATTTCAGGTCGTGGTTGCCAACGGCACTATTTTCTGTAACTGTTCCCTCCTACCGTGCTAGGAAGAGCCTACAGCTTGTGTCTATCATCACTGCATATTATTCCCTAACGCAATCACTGACACCCACCAATCAAAAATGTGGTTGACCTGGCAACAGGATGCGCATTTCCTAATTTAACTGCCCTCTCTTCAGGCAATATTTGTTTGCTAAGTGGAAAACAGAGCTTAGAGGAGAAACTTCACATTAACCCATTTGCGCTAAATGTGAGGAAAACATTGCAGCCAACCCACACCCAAACGCCTACATGCTAGTGTAGTACCTGTAACAAGAGAGAGAAGCTACACATCTTAGATGTTTTCCACTGAGATTAACAACTTGATCATCCCCGCCCCCTCGCCCACTTTCAGTGTCTTACTAGTTAAGTGTTTGGTGGTAGCTGATGACGTTTAGACTTGGCAGGACTGCAATTTTTCATCTAACTGTTTTTCTCATAATAGGACTTAAAGGTAAAGGTAAATATACCCCTGACTGTTAGGTCCAGTCGCGGACAACTCTGGGGTTGCGCACTCATCTCGCTCTATAGGCCGAGGGAGCTGGCGTTTGTCCGCAGACAGCTTCCGGGTCATGTGGCCAGCATGACTAACAAGAGCAGCGCATGGAAATGCCATTTATCTTCCCACCAGAGCGGTACCTATTTATCTACTTGCACTTGACGTACTTTTGAACTGCTAGGTGGGCAGTAGCTGGGACTGAACAACAGGAGCTCACCCTGTCACAGGGATTCGAACTGCCGACCTTCCGATTGGCAAGCTCTAGGCTCTGTGGTTTAGACCACAGCGCCACCTGCATCCCTATAATAGGACTTGCGTAACACTTATTTGGGAAAGTTTGCCATTACACATACGCAGAGTGCCATGATCTCCTCACTGAAAAACTGAGCC